TACTTATAAAAAAATTCACATAGCTATTTATCCAGCAAAACTGCATGTACAGTTGTTATCCAGCTGTTGTGAGAATGGGACAAAACAAATGCACTTAGTGTAATTTCTCTTCTGATCTGATGTTCCTCAATAGTCATATTAATACAGAATGGAGCGGATGGGGAAAATAATGATTTATGGCCACTAGATGGAACTGAGGATCATAGGAAATAAATACATGTTGGTAAGGAGATATAATGTTACACTTCTAGACACCTCTGGAGGGAATGAGCATATAAAGTAATTAGGGATGTCCCGATGCCACTTTTTCAGGCCCAAGTACATGTACTTCCCCTCATGTACTTGCCGATACCAATTACCGATACTTTTTCTTAAAGGGACAGGTGACTTTAAATGATCCATAGTACAACTACATGTTATGTACTATGGATCATGATTTAAACTATTCATGTTAGCAGCGGAGAATTGTAACTCTATTGTTGGAGTGTAGTGGAGGTGTGTGCTGTATATATGTACTACATATACATTACACACGTCCAGTACACTATAGCAATAGATTTACAGCCAGCCCCGTCCCAGCTTCCCTCACTCACAGTTTCACTCCGAACCCTGTTGCCTCACGTGGTGCCTCTCGTAGTCGGCGCTGGGCAGGATCGCTGCATCGCATCTCGGTGCTCAGCTTGTGGGAGGCGCTCGCAATTCTGCCCTGCTAACATGAATGGGTTAAATCATGATCCGCAGTACATATACAGCACACATGTCCCATACACTGCAGTAATAGAATTACAATGATCCCCTGCTAACATGCACAGGTTAAATGATCCGTAGTACATAATAGTAAATAACAAGTAGTTGTACTATGGATCATTTAACCCATTCGTGTTAGCTGGGGATCATTGTAAATCTATTGCTGCAATGTACGGGACATTTGTGCTGTATATGTACAGTACATATAGACTGCACTGCAACAATAGATATACAATTCTGCACTGCTAACATAAATGAGTTAAATGATCCGTAGTACAGGGCTACATATCATGTACTATGGATCATTTAACCCATTCATATTAGCAGAATTGTTGGAGTGTAGTGGAGGTGTGTGCTGTATATATGTACTACATATACATTACACACGTCCAGTACACTATAGCAATAGATTTACAGCCAGCCCCGTCCCAGCTTCCCTCACTCACAGTTTCACTCCGAACCCTGTTGCCTCACGTGGTGCCTCTCGTAGTCGGCGCTGGGCAGGATCGCTGCATCGCATCTCGGTGCTCAGCTTGTGGGAGGCGCTCGCAATTCTGCCCTGCTAACATGAATGGGTTAAATCATGATCCGCAGTACATATACAGCACACATGTCCCATACACTGCAGTAATAGAATTACAATGATCCCCTGCTAACATGCACAGGTTAAATGATCCGTAGTACATAATAGTAAATAACAAGTAGTTGTACTATGGATCATTTAACCCATTCGTGTTAGCTGGGGATCATTGTAAATCTATTGCTGCAATGTACGGGACATTTGTGCTGTATATGTACAGTACATATAGACTGCACTGCAACAATAGATATACAATTCTGCACTGCTAACATAAATGAGTTAAATGATCCGTAGTACAGGGCTACATATCATGTACTATGGATCATTTAACCCATTCATATTAGCAGGGGATAATTGTAAATCTATTGTTGCAGTGCATTCTATTTGTAGTATATATTACATGTACTTATAGAGTGCCTGAAACAATACATTTACAATTATACTCTGCTAACATGAATGGGTTAAATGATCCGTAGTACTGGGCTACATACAGATCATTTAATCCATTCATGTTAGCAGAGTATAATTGTAAATGTATTGTCTGCACTGTATTAGCAGTGTGTACTCTATATGTAGTACATATAGAGTATATACTGCTAATGCATCTAATACAGTGCAGATAATACATTTACAATTATACTCTGCAGCATAATAGTGTCCCCCCCTCCCCTTGCCCTCACTCACTGTGCCGGAGAGAGCAGCGACGAGTCAGCGCTGGTCTGGTGGGAGGAGCTCCAGGTGCGGTTCTAATTTAGCTGGCTCAGAGGTGCCGGCCAGCTAAATTAGAATCCCACCTGTAGCTCCTCTCACCGGACCAGCACTGACTCGCCGCTGCGTTTCTTTTCTTACTTACCTCGCTGAGCATCGCGTCACTGCTGCTCCGGTGGGCGGCGCTCCGAGCGGGGTCATCTGGCAGTCTCCGGCCACCTAAATTAGGACCCCCACCTGCAGCTCCGCCCATCGGAGCAGCAGTGACGGGACGCTCGGCGAGGTAAGAAAGAAAAGAAAAAAAAACATTATTTCTTATCATCCATCTATGCATCATAATAAAATTCACATAGTTACATAGTTAGTCAGGTTGAAAAAGACACATGTCCATCGAGTTCAACCTATAGAGATATGGGGGGAAAAAAGCCTAAACTGAACGCTACGATCCCAATTACCCACTGTTGATCCAGAGGAAGGCAAAAAACCCCTATAAAGAATTACCTGCAGCTGCTGCTTGTAACAATCTTCATCTTACTGCCCCCTTCACAGTGGCTGGATATTACACTCAGTGGCTGTCTTGCCGTGCTGTGAGAGCCTGCGGTGAGTCTAATCTGAAGAGTTGCACCACCAGCCCAACAGTGTGGATAAAAAAGTAGTGCAGTAGTGCATGCACTACTTTTTTTTATAGCCATACCGCAATGCATAGTAATGTGGCACTACGTGGCAATGTGCGTTACGAGTGCATTGCGGCCACAGGTGCAATTCAAATGAAGGGCAATGCAAACCACCTCATGCACTGCAACATACGGTAGGTGCGTTGCACGGTAGCATGCGTTATTCCCACATGGTGTGAATAGGCCTTAAAACTTTTGAGGAAAAAAAATGATTATTCTTCCAGTGTTGGTCAATAAATCCAACAAACATCTACTGTGTTATGTGTTATTTAGTTTACAAAGTTTTACCACAAAAGGGACAGAGCACTGATCCACACAAATGTTTTCAATTTCAGCCTGTGGTGATACAAATATTTCTGTCTTTTGACAGGATCTGTGAATGGAGTAAGTACAAGTCCCATCTGCTACTGCGGCAGTTGTTTTCAATGGAATACAAGTGCAATGAGGTCCATTCATTCTTCCTCCCGCCCATGTTACTGAATGTCTATACCCAGTGGTGTATTTTGGTTTTGTGCTGCCCTAGGCAAGATTAAACTCGGGCAACCCCCCATCTAAATTGGTCTCAACTCCTTCCGGTATAAGACATTTTGCGTAACCTGTCAGTCGGTGGATACAGCGCGCACACTGTATCCACCTTCTGACAGGTTGAGCTATTAGCTGCTGTGCTGGAAGCCCGCTGCACATTTTGCTTATCCTGTCAGAAGTTGGATACAGCGAGCGCCTGTTTTAATAGTAACAGGCTGCGCTGTATCACTTGTGCCAGCATCGGAGAGAGGAGGCTGAGCTCAGCGGTGAATTCGGGTAAAGATCATTTTTTTTCTTCTCTCTTAATGGTTTGGGGGCAGTATTTTTTTTTGCCATCCCCCAGGAAAGTGCCGACCAGAGCAAATGCCTAGTTTGCCTTGTGTTAGATACTCCTCTGTCTGTACCGATGGACAGAGGGAACGGACTGCAGGAGCCAGAGCATTGCACTCATGATCTACTGATTGCAGTTGCAATGCTTTACTGACTCCAATGCAAAAATAATAAATGCACATTTTTTTCTTTTATGAAAATGTGTGCATTTATTATTTTTGTAAAAAAGGTGGAATTTCCCTTTAAGAACTTATTTGCAGATCATGACCCTAATCACAGCAGTGGGCAACTCCAGCCCTCCAGCTGTGCTTTACCTACAAATCCCATCATGCTTCTGCCTCTGGGAGTCATGCCTGTACCTGTCAGTGTTGCAATGCCTCATGGGACTTTTAGTTCTACAACAGCTGGAATTGCCCACCCCTGCGCTATTGCTTTCATTTTCTGAATGTTCGTTCGATGGGGTCAAACTGATGATCTATGGGGGGGAAAAATGAAAATGGATGGAAACATTTTCTGTTCAAATTTTGATTGCAAAACTCCATTCATTCAAAAATCAAACTCGATTTTGAACAACATTCTACAAGTCTCTAATGGGATTATTAAATGTTCAGGTGAGATTTTTCCCATGAAAGTTATAGGAAAATCTACAGATGCATGGCCAGCAAGTGACAAGTCTGCATCTATTCATATAACTCCTGTAGGACTGGTCCTTCTAAATGGAAGCTTTTGATATAGAGGGCCCCTTGCTACCCTTTGGCCCCAGCAGAAGCCCAGTTCATCTAACAGGACACTGGTCCCCAGGCTCATTCCCATACAGGGACTCAGTGCACTACCTTTTGTTGCTGGGAATGGGATTTCTCTGTAACTCACAGGGAGCAAAAGCGGGAGAGACCACAGCAGGCTGGGAGGGGGGTGGGTGATTGTACAGGCATTCCAAGCTTTCACCAATAGGCTTTATTGGTGAAAGTTTGTGTGTGTGAAATGGGAATTCCTGTGTGTGTCGCCAAGGAGGCGAGCTGAATAGTTGACGGAGCGCTTTGTTTTTGTAAAGCGGCCCCCCCTCTCTGAAACTCTGTGGAATCGTCCAGAGTCCAGCGCTCGCAGTATGCCTGCAGAGCGGTGTGAAGTTGTGAGCAGCCCGGGAGGCTGAGTGTGACACAAGGGGCTTACTATGCTGAAGAGGGACAAGGCACACACGCCGTGCCTGCACTTCGCACAGCCTCTCCTGGGGCACTCCGAGCTGCTGGATGACCAATGTCCCTGGTGAGGAACACACAGCACTGACACGTCCAACCTGGGAGCGAGCACAATGGAGGCTGACGAGGCAGCTGCCAGTCCTCCGGACCCCCAAGATGAAGGCAATTTGTCTAATAGGGCTAATTAGCATTGGAGACATAGGAAACACTCATCAGATTGCATGTGAGAATCCTGGAACAGCTGGCTACATTGCATGCACTTTGTTTACCTGGTGCCCTTCAGAAGGAGGACATGTATGATGGTATGGATGGCTGTGTTTTTTTAATTTTCTCTAATTACTGTTTACTTTGAAATACTTTGCATCTGTTTTTATGGTTCTATTTAATTTTCTATAAGAGGAATCAGTATTGCCTACATTTCAGCTTCACTATATGCCCTGCTCAAGCCATACATGTGCGGTGGTGTGCACAAATACACAGCTTAACGGGCACGATGTGAACAAGCTTTAGTGTCAATTTAGTGATATAAAGCCACTTTGTTTTTATTGCGATAAAACCAAGAACGTTGAAGACCCATGCTAGGTTTCCCTTTGCTACCCAGAGACACAACAGGAGGGAAGATCTTTCCAAAGTTAGGGTTAGCTCCTCTTCAACAGTTGTCACCAGAACAGGTTTACCCTTCACCACCTTTTCCTGTGACAACTCATAAAAGTTGGATTTCCCATCAGCCTTCTTTAAACTTTTCATCATAGAGAACACTAACATTCAGGTCTCAGGGAACCCCTAGTTATATATAAAAGAACAGGAAGGTGGCATACGCACCATTTTTGTCATCTACTCTGTATGACATACATATTACTCTAAATAAACTAATATTGGTCAAAATATAAATGCACACAGTGATAAAAAAATGTATTGTTCCATACATTGGTGGTCAGTGGGAATAATGTTCCTTACATTGGTGGTGAGTAAAAACAATGCTTTTTACAACGGTGGTCAGTGGAAAAATGCAATTAACAGTGGAAAAAAAGCCCTCATATATTGGTGGTCAGTGAGAGAAGGACCACCATACAATGGTGGTCAGTGAGAAAAATGCTTCTTACATTGGTGGTCAGTAAGAAGAATGCTTCTTACATGAATGTTCATGTAAGAAGAATGCTTCTTACATGAATGTTCATTGGAAGGATGCTCCTTACATTGGTGGCCAGTAAGAGCAATGCTCCTTACATCAATAGTCATTGGGAAGAATGGTCCTTACATTGGTCAGTAAGAAGAATGCTTCTTACATTGGTGGCCAGTAAGAGCAATGCTCCTTATATCAATAGTAAATGGGGAGAATGGTCCTTACATTGATGGTCAGTAAGAAGAATGGTCCTTACATTGATGGTCAGTAAGAAGAATGGTCCTTACATTGATGGTCAGTAAGAAGAATGCTCCTTACATTGGTGGTCAGTAAGAGAAATGCTCCTTACATTGGTGGTCAGTAAGAAGAATGCTCCTTACATTGGTGGTCAGTAAGAGAAATGCTCCTTACATTGGTGGTCAGTAAGAAGAATGCTCCTTACATTGGTGGTCAGTAAGAGAAATGCTCCTTACATTGGTGGTCAGTAAGAAGAATGCTCCTTACATTGGTGGTCAGTAAGAGAAATGCTCCTTACATTGGTGGTCAGTAAGAAGAATGCTCCTTACATTGGTGGTCAGTAAGAGAAATGCTCCTTACATTGGTGGTCAGTAAGAAGAATGCTCCTTACATTGGTGGTCAGTAAGAGAAATGCTCCTTACATTGGTGGTCGGTGGGAAGAAAACCTCCTTTACAGATAGTTACAGAGAGCATAAGCATCAGTGATTACTTATCTGATGGGCAGATATTGCTCATTGCTCTAGGAACCCCCTGCAACCTCTGGAGGAACCCTAGTGTTCCACGGAGCCCTGGTTGAGAAAGGCTGCAACTAATAAAAATGGCTTTACATACACTTTAAACAATTCTAGAGCTGCAAATGTAAAAAAGCCGTGATAATAACTTGTCTATGGTTCAGAAGTATCAAATTTGTTGTGATATGTTCCAGTGAAGTCAATTGTGAAGTACAGAGCTACAAAACAATACATTTGGTATTTACAAATTATTGCTGAAGATCGGAAGTTTGTTTTAGGGCCTGTTCACACGACGTCCGTTTTGTGTGCTGACCCGATCCGTACACTCCTGCACTAAAAATGCATCCCAATGTATCCCTATGTGTTTTATGGGCTACAGTTCTCACGTGCGCAGTCCGTTCAGGTTACGACAGAAAAATACTGCATGTCACATTTTGTACGGTCCAGAAACGCAAAACGCGTCAAAAACGCACTGCATTGCAGCTAACATACTGACAGCCCCCACTCCAGCAAAAAGAAAAAAAATTATTTTTTTTTTTTTTTACTGGAACGCATCAAAAACGTGGCAAAACACATAGCATAGTATCTGCAGATCCGCACCTGATCTGGACCTGAAAATCATGTGAACAGGCCCTCAAGGAATTAACTGCTGTTTTATTGGCAGGAAGTGGACAGTCAGTCAGCTGCAAGAAGTGTTTTGTTTATTATGATGATCAGGATATTTTTATTATGCTGTTTATATTTTTATTAAACCAGTATGCTTGTAGCATTTCTTAAAAGAACTATCAAAATAGTTTTGAAAATATTATGGAAATGTTACAAGGTATGTCAGGAGTGGACACATTAATATGGAATGCAGGAGGATGTGGGAGTCAGCTCAATTGACAACTAGAGAAAATGTCAAATTGTTGGCACCAGCTGTAATTTTTATGGCTACCTGTCTCCTGCCCCGGGTATGAGCACTTGCTGTATCTGTATGTACCTGTAGTTTGGTTTGTGTGTGTGTGAGATATACTGTATATACAGCTGTGAGAAAAAGTTTGCGAGCTCTTAGGAATTTCGAAACAAATAGCCTTAAAATGTGATTCGATCTTCTAAGCCACAGTAACAGACTTCTAGTTAATACAACACTAGATATTTTATATTGTTATAGCTTTATTGAACAAACCGTTTAAACAATCAAGTTCATGTATGAAAAAGTATGTGAACCTTTTTATTAACTCTTGAATCCTTTGTTTATCATAACCATATCCAAATGTTTAAAATCAAAGCTGTAAAGCAGTTAGGATGTATTTGTTCCCATTCTTTTAAACAAAGATCAATTTCAGTTCATGTGTATGTTTGTTTAGTCTTATGTGAATTGCCTCCTACAGTCCATGTGGCAGCATGTAAATGGCACTGAGGTCAGAAATCTGGCTTGGTCATTATTTAAGGCAGAATTTGTTTTTTTGCAACTTTGATATTGTTTTCTACCTTGTTTTGGATCATTGTCCTGTTATGTAACCAATCTTCATTTAGCTTTAGATCACAGAGTAATGCTTTGACATTCTGCTGTAAAATAGCCTACAAACCCAAAGTTTAATTGCCCCTCAATATTTGCAAGCCATTCAGATCCTGAGGCAGGATGTTATACTTTTTCTGCCATGCACAAGGGTTGGGGGTGAGGTGTTTGGTGTTGGTATGCCGTGCTTCATTTTGTCCAAACATAACACTGTGTATATTTACTTAAATGTTTAAAGTCCAACTAAAGTCTCTAGTATTGTCCTCTCAAAGTGATAAACAGGCACTGGAGATGGGCATGGTAAATGTCTCAAAGTACAACTAAAGGTATGGTAGTCTAAACAAGTGCCAAATTCAGCTACCTTGTGATGAATAAGCCTCATAAAGTAAATCAAAAAACTTCCTTTACATCCCCCAACTGAGCCGCATCATCCTTTTGTGTCTCATTTGCTCCCCCTTCCAGATAGTGCAGCTTACTGTGGGAATATGTCAGCAATAGAGGCAGTGCTGACAATATAGAAAGCAGTGGGCTGGACTAGGTTAGGTGTGTCCAGGTGCTGACTGAAAAACTATGACAATGTTAATAGCCATACCTCCTGCAACATTTTCCTATCCCACTGTAGTGCAAACAAGCACAGCCTTCATAAAAATGTCGAGGCTGCTCTGAATTCAGAAGCAGTGCAGCATCATTGCCACCCAGTCACAAGAAGGTGCATTAGGTGGACCTAGAAAAGATTGTACATGCATGTATTTATAACCAGCCTTTATAGCAGGGCGCACATTGGGAAGGCTTACAACAATACAAAACACAAAAATTCCCCAGCCTCAACCTGCCAGCCAGCCTGCAACCAAACAAATTGCCCTGTCAACAGTATGCGTTAAAATCAGAGGTTTTAGTTGCACAAACTTTTGGCCAAAAATATGTAGAAGCCACACTGCCGCGCCAAGGCACCTCTGCAAAGTGTGGCCCTAACTCTATGTATCCGAGTCTCCAAGTGTGAGCATATTAATGAAGTCGATAAATGACATGCAGGTGTACCTGGAGGTAGCCAACTCCTCCTAATAAGGTGCAGGGACGCACTGGAGGCCCAGCAACCAAAAATGCACGCTGTCCCCCAAACCAAAAATAGTCAAACTAGAAAAGATGGTACATGCATGAATCTATGACCAGCCTTTATAGCAGTGCGCATATTGGGAAGGCTTACAACAATACAAAACACAAAAATAATACTATTAAAAAAATATTTCCACAGAAGATTGTTTCAGTGATGCTGTGGAACATGTCATGGTATACTCTGTGCTACCCTTCATGAGCAATGAAAACCTCTTTTGAAGTGATTTATGTATGTAGACTTAGGACAGATACAGATACTGTCAAGTTCAAGAGGCCCACACTTGATGCTTAGCTGTTGTCTTAGAATTGTGTTTAACCAGTTTGAGCATTTTACAGTCTGCTTTTGCACTAATCTTTGTATGATGGACACTTGAAGGGAGAATAGCAATGGTTATGTTTGCCTGACTGGATGCAGGATACTTACAACAATACAAAACACAAAAATTCCCCAGCCTCAACCTGCCAGCCAGCCTGCAACCAAACAAATTGCCCTGTCAACAGTATGCGTTAAAATCAGAGGTTTTAGTTGCACAAACTTTTGGCCAAAAATATGTAGAAGCCACACTGCCGCGCCAAGGCACCTCTGCAAAGTGTGGCCCTAACTCTATGTATCCGAGTCTCCAAGTGTGAGCATATTAATGAAGTCGATAAATGACATGCAGGTGTACCTGGAGGTAGCCAACTCCTCCTAATAAGGTGCAGGGACGCACTGGAGGCCCAGCAACCAAAAATGCACGCTGTCCCCCAAACCAAAAATAGTCAAACTAGAAAAGATGGTACATGCATGAATCTATGACCAGCCTTTATAGCAGTGCG